GTTTTGCTGTTACCAGAGCAAAGAAATAACTGGTGAAATATAATAAATCAAATTTATAATATATTTATATATTTTTTATATATTTCATCTCGCATTTCTATTATATGAAATCATTCTACTGAATAGTAATTATGTAATTGTTTTTGAAATTTGAGAAATTGTTGATAAATATCGATATATTGAAATGATACAGATATCCCGATATATCGATAACATCATTGAGATATTATTAAGGCGAATAGAAGCAAGATAGATCGTAATGTATTCTGTATAATAAAATAATTTAACATATATTAATTTTTATTTAAACTTACTACTCATTACTGTATATTGTTTGTAATCTTGTCTGTCTCAAAGAATTATATATGTACATTGTGATTTATGTATCATAAATATAACATATGTACCTGATTTTTTTTTTTTTTTTTTTTTTTTTTTTTTGAAATCACATGGATATCATTGAAGAATATTTAGATTTTTTGTTTCTATTTAATTAATGCAAAATTATGAATCAGTATTGGAATTTTTGTTTGCAAAAAGCAGGACAAATTCTGCCAAATAGAAGAACAAGGTTACACTAAAAGTACAGTAACATGTTGTCAATAATATGTTATAAAAGTAGATAAATTTTTAAAGATTTTATTAAAATTAATGCATTGCATTCCTCTTCAATCTTTTGACTTTACTTTAAAGATATTTTCACGATATATCGTGAAGTTATTATTAAATTATCGATAACTTATCGATAGCCACACATTTTTATTTTATATTAGAATGACAGAATGATTCATTTAATTGCATTCCCTGAAATTATTTATAAACTATTTGTTGCATGAAAAAACGTTTCTAATAAAAATTGTTTATCATTAAAATTAGCATGCAAAGTAATAATTAATTTTTTGCAATTTCGTTAATTTCTTAATTTATTAAGATATGAAGGTTGTATCAAGTTTTATAACCATAATGAGTAACATTAAAAAATATCGGCGATTATGGGCTTTTGATCCTATATACGTTAATAATTTCTTCAATCCACAATCAATACTTTTTCAAATCACGTGTACAAAGCTATACATACTATGAGTGAAAATTTAAGTTAACCTTCATATTTTCACAAAGAAAAGAAATTACAAAAAGTAATAATCATATCATAGTTCTCTTCATACTAAATAGTTTGCAAATGATTCCAGGTAGTAGGAATAATTAACTCACCCTGTATACAGGGTGTCCAAACTGAAGCAGACCACTTAAATATTTCCTCTGTTTACAACGACACGTTTATGGCATTATTCGAATGATTTCGAAGCAGAAATATCAAAGAAGCATGATCTATTGTGAAGGATCTCTTCTTTCAATTGTATCTTAAATGGATAAAAAAATACATCTGAATATATCTAAAATAGTCATCTTTGAATGTATATAATCAAAATGTGATAAAATTGCAGACATGTAAAGACCGTGTATGACCATATGTTACTTATGCTTATGTCAGAAATGCTCAAGGTGATATTTGTCAGTAATGAAACAATTTTTGATGCGAACAATCACGGATTGTGATGTTCTTTCAATTTGACGTGGTAACAACACAAGCTATAATTATATGATTTATCATATTCTTTGGAGTAATAGATTACTGGTGATGAACTTTTTCTGTCAGTTTTCCTCGAAGAAGAAAGTCTAATAGGTCAGATGAGGTAAGTTCATACACAATCCTTAAATTACTTTACAATTTCATTTGTACCTTTTCAAAGTAACATTTTAGGCATATTCAGATACATGTTTTTATTCGTTTTTGGATGTAATAGAAGTATGCACATTTCTCTGATAAAAAAAGGAGATCTTGAGGACAGCTATCCAGAAGACTGGCCCCACCGACATGATTATTCGAAACTATTCAAATAGTACCATGGACGATTTTCGTGTCGTACAGAAGAGATATTCCGGTGACCTGATTTAGCGTGGACGTCCCATACATCAATTTGTGCTGCAACAAACAGATGCAAATAATGAACAAGGCTTTGGAAGAAATTAATTCGTTGTAACATGTGCTACTATATGTTCATATCAATACCTATATGTAGACTAGTGAAGACAATTACAAGTCGTTGGACCTAATAGCGTCTTACTGTGTATAAATCGATTATGTTCGATGAAATGTACCTTGGAAGCCATCTTTGCACTTGCATTCAAAACCATGTTCCCCAAGATCGATACATGTGCCGCTGTTACAAGGTTTCGTCGCGCAATGGTCAACGATAAGGGTGCAATTGGGATCTCTGTAGCCCTCGCGACATTTGCACTCGTAATCAGCGATACCATCGACGCACACTTTCCCGTCAGGGCAGATCACGTCGATGCAGTCGTCCACATTGACATCGCAGACCTTCCCTTCGAAGCCGCGGGGGCACTCGCAGACAAATTCACGCCGTGACCTTGGTATCAGCGTGCAGTTCCCATTATTCTGGCAAGGATTTATCGCGCAAGCATTGTACTCGCGCTCGCAATTTTCATCCATAAAATCCTTCGTACAGTTGCATATGTATCCATTAATTCGGTCTATGCAGGTGCCGCCATTTTGACAAGGTTGTGACAAGCATTCGTCCACGTTGATCTGGCAGTTTTTACCTGGTGGCATTGAAATACGTTTCATTAAATAGAAATTGTCAATTAAATTAGATAATTACCTATTATTGTCACTTTTATTGCTGACTACTTTTTAAATAATTATATAATAAGAATGTATGATTAATAATGATGAAGTAATACTTGCAATATGGCGGGTATTAAAATTGTATAATCGGATTTCTTTTTGTACATGGGATAAGAAATTATTATTTATTATAGACTTTCATTGTAATTCAAGAGGTAAATATTAATGACTGCTCTAACTAAAAGGATTACTTGATGGTAAAACAATGACATAATGGTAACAGAAAATAATATGAAATAACACAATTAATAACATAAAAAAAAAAAAACAAAAACAAAGGTACAAAATAATTCCTTAAATATACAGGGTAGGCCAGAATTCTTAGTGCAATCGGACAGGGGTGATTCTACGTGAAAAAGCAAATCGAAAATAAAGAATAAAATTTTTTCATTTGAAGTTTCGTAGTCGAGAAAATCGGCTTTGAATATCCATTGAGCACGCTGCTATACTGATGGCCATCTAAACCATAGTTAAGTGCACGCGTTCTCGTTGAATATTCAAAGTCGATCTTCTTGACTACGAAGGTTCAAATGAAAAAATTTTATTCTTTATTTTCGATTTGTTTTTTCACGTAGAATCACCTCCTGCTCGATTGTAATACGAATTCCGATCCACCCTGTATAGAAAAGATAGGTCATTTTTAAAACAGGTAGTATTATAGAGGGTTAATATTTTTGAGATTTTTCGAGTCTCTAGTTAGTAGTAGTTAGATGCAAAAGGCAGGTTTGTGACGATTAAATTTTCAAATGATAAAATTAGTCTTATTTTTCTGTTTCGTTGAAAAGAATTGAAAATCGAAAAATTTATTTAAGAAATGTTACACAATATAGAAACTATATAACGGGTATAGTGTACCCGTAAAATATTGTAATTAAAATTTTTTATATCCGTATAATTGTTATTGTCCGCAAAAAAAGTGTTAACCCTTTAACGATTATGCTCGTCTTAACATGGTTTCGACTTTATGTAAGGCTTGCCTTATTCCGTGTTAACACGGTCTTACTTTATTCACTGAGTTTATATGAAACTATGTATGTATACTCGCGTGTATCAATTTTTCTAATTTTTCTGTATTTTTAACGATCAGGTACTCGATTAATAATACAAAAATTTGGAATTTTCTGACGGATTTTTGTCAAATAATTAGGTCGTTAAGACCTAATTATAGTTTTAAGACCTAATTTTAGCTATTGATGTCAAAAAATGATTAATTTGTAACATATTTAATCTCAATATTCCAAAGTGGTATGTAATAATAGATATATCTACTGCTCTGAAATAGGACTATATGATACTTGAACTAAATTTCATTACGCCAGAAATGTTAAGAGCTATACTAATTTCGCAAAAACGTAGGCATGTACTGACTGCATCAAGATTGTATTCGGGCACATGAACTACTAGGTAAATGCATTACTTTTGCTATTTTATTTTCTACTTTCCCCATTTCAAAACAGTAGGCATCCGAATATTAGGAGTAAATACCATCTAAATCAGTGGTTCTCAATCTGTGGTACGCGTGCCACTACTGAAAATCAGGACAGAAACACATCTACATACTAGCCAGAAGGGTATGATTATTTATTCTTGCATAAATCTGTAGAATCCAAAACATCTTCAACGTCTTTTAGTTTCGAATCAAAATAGTTTTTGAAATTATTTTAATACTGAAAATAATTAATATTGGAAAATTTGATTTATAGATATTACTCTGCAGATGGGGATACTCTTTGGGAACAGTTACCAAAGTTTTTGGGACCCTCACAGTCCTGTTATATGGCCCCAAGTAGCTCTGGATTAGATGTTAGCCAATTAAGATTGCATATCCAATTTATCTGGGAATGTATAAATATTTTAAAAAATATAGGTGATACGGAAAAATATTCGAAATGAATGTTGCAGGATACCATGGAGGTAATGTTACTAACAATGTTAGTAATGTTAACATTATAATATATAATCAGCCATTTGCACTCAAACGATGACACTGTTTTAACACCAGGAAGCTCAAGTAACGAGTATGAGACTATAACTAGATTAAAAGTAACTGCACGTGAAATATTGAAACGAAATGCACCTGATTTTCTTCTTTTATTTTAACATAAATGGTATCACCGAGCTTAGAAAAATGTAAAAAAAGCTTCGAATTGTTATATCTTTATACCGAAAAAATTTTCGAATGCACAGGGATAATGATTTGAACAACCGATTGCATTTCCCACCATGCTAAACAAGGAATTGGCACTGTTAATTTTAATCATCTTACTATTAATCGATATCCTTTTTAACTAGATTAGAAATCTAATTCCAAGCTCTTCTTAGATTTTTATAAGCTCGCTGATACTCTTTATGTAAAAATAAAAAAAGAAAATCGTGCATTTGCGTGAAAAACGAACGAATAGAATCATTTTATTTCGATATTTCGTGTGTAGTTGTTCTTAATATAATTATCACCTCTTATTTGCCATTTAAGTTATATCATTGAAAAAAACGGTGACTGGGAGTTACCTCTCGAGTGCAAAGGGTTAACAAAATTACGTATATATAATTACATATATTATATGTAGCAATGTTAACGTTATAACGTTATAATGTTAATATATTAATATATAATATATTAATATTTATTTGACCTTATTTTAAACAACCTTGAAATCTCCTGTGAATGTCAAATTTCTAAACATTAATCTATATTTTTTATCACAAATTTTTATAATCCACGTCGAATCGTTTTCGAAATATTAATTATTTCTCCTTTTCTTTTTGCACGTATCATAATCGAGATATAAAATTTCGAAGCTGGCACGCCACTATTTTTTCTAGAGCAATTCGAAAGTTCTTAACTTTCATGAAGCCTGGTAAACTTTTTTCTCTAACACGAGTGTCCAGTTGCAACAAATCTATTCAGAAATATATACCTTACCTTTTAATAAAGATAGCTTGGAAAACTAAAATTTTTAATTTCAAAAAACCTTTTTGTAAGTCGAGAAATTCTTTCTTTTTCTAAATAAATGAATTTATTCACAAGTATCTTATTAACTCAAGAAAAATGGTTGGAAAATTCAAATGAGAAATGAGAAATTCTAAAAGTACGTCAGGCGAGCTGATGTACGCTAATGTTTTCGGAAATGGTAGTCGTAACTCCGTAACTAGCAGACGCTTGTCCTCACTCAGTATGGAGAGTGGGGATAGCGGTGAGAGGTAGAAGTTGGTGAATCGGGATCCTTTTGCAGTTATTTAAATATAATCCAGTAGAAAAAAAATTTATTTCGTATAATTTAAATTCTTCTTTTGTAAAAATATAATTTCATATATTTGTGAGATTTTTCTGAGAAAAACGAGATCAAACACGATATAGTAAGACGACACTAGACTAATAATAATAATATGATAATGTATTATGCTTATATATGTACATATTGCATAATGGGTAATTAGAAAGTGCATCGATCGGCAATTTTCAACCAATGTTTCGCAACACATTAATGAACTATGAAGATTTTTAATATGCTGCGAAAATTTCACCGAAGTAGTCAAAATTGGGGAAAAATTCTTAAATTGAAAATTTAATCCCAGGAGAAATACTACTGTTTCCTATAAATTGTTAAGTAAAAAAGTAAAAATAGATAGTTACTATTATCATTGTTTTGTAAATCAGTCAAAATTAATCAAAATTATATTTATCTAAAAAAATCTATTTTTTGATATGCTATAGAATTTTGGTAATCAGTATATGTATGCTAAGAGATGAAAAAGTTGAGAATCACTGGTATAGACGAACATACATCTTTTTCTGTAAATCAATTGAAAATTATTTTTTGTGACCTTAGCACAAAATTAATTTTGTTATATGCTGTAGACTTTTAATAATTAGTTTGTGTGTGTCAAAAGTTGAAAATATTTGCAATCACTAGTATAGATAGATCACTAGTATACATAATCCTTTATAAACTGACTCTTCACCCTGTATTAACCTGGACAAATTGTATAGCAAAATAAATACCTACTTTGACCAAGGTTGTGAAATTTCATCGCTTTTGCAAATGCAAAATCACATATTTTTCTGTAATTGGCATTAGATAGTACAGAAATACTGCTACTTATATGGACACATTAGTGATTACAGATATTGACCAAAATGACCACTCTCGAACCGGTAGTTGAGAGACACTGTTCTATCATAATATAGAGTTCGACGCACGCAACCAACCCGCGGCGTGCATTAGGTAACGCTAATGCCAACGACACGTAAACTTTGAAACTCTATATTTCGATAATGGTTAGTACGAAAGACACAAGTGAATAGTATTTCAAATACGATTCGATGTCGACTATAACAGTATTTAATAAAAAATCTAAGTTCCTATTACTTAAGTATGAGAACTTAAACATGATTTTCACTGTATTTTCAAAGTGCTTGCACAGTCAAAATAGTATTACAGGATGCGTCTTATTTCAATTTTTGAATGTAACTATTTTCCAGACTGGTCTTAAAAAATGTTTCATACACAACTTGGTTTTGTGACGGACATTTTATAATGGTCACGAATTTTCATTGTGTTGTAACATTTGGACTTACAAGGTCGTAGATATTTTCCTCAAAATGGTGCGAGTTTTATTTGAAACATTGTTTGGAATTATTTATAGTTTGACAAATGATTGAATCCACAGATTAAAATTTGTCTATATCACCAGTATTATTCTACACCATATATTTACATCTTTCCAGATAAATCAGACACTCCGTAGAACAAACTCGAATGGTAACGTAGGTCAAAGTCACACGCGACAGACCCCAGATACAGCCCAGTTATACAGGGTGATTCGTTCACTAATGGATTCCAAGGGACTATTCGAAATATTTTACTACTTCAAACTTTACCGCGCACATATCCATGTACACAAATGTAATCGTTGCATACATTTATCGGATCGTCACGTATGGACGTTTAAGCGATAGTGCTGGCTCTAGCGAGCGAATCACCCTGTAGTTTCACAGTACAGAGCTAGAGAAGCGTAAAAGCTCAGTGTGCAAATGGAATATTTGCGGATGAAGTGATTACCAGTGTATCCTGGAAGACACTGACAGTAGTAGTTATTCTGTTGATCAATGCAGATGCCACCGTTGCGGCAAGGATCACTGGAACACTCGTCCACGTCGATGGAACACTCAGGCCCCGTCCATCCTGGCTCACAGGTGCAATAATAACCGCCGGGCTGTTTGAGGCGAGACGTAACAAACAAAGCAAGATGCCACATAGAGATACATTCGACGCGACGCGCTTGATTAATCGGGCTGGACGTGCATGCAAAGCGATTCACGCAAATGTCTCACTCACATAATCGTGACAAGCGGAAGCCTGTTTGCAAGGCAGATCGCGACAGGTGATCGGATCCTTGCACTGAGGTCCAGTCCAAAATCTCGGGCACTGACACATTATACCGAAACGCGTCTCGAGACAACTGCCTCCGTTGTAACAAGCCGAGCACCAATCCGAGGCGGGTGATATACATGTCGCTCCTGACGGTGGCGCGATGCGCAGAAGACAATAACGAACGTTTGAGATGAGTGTATGTTGTCCGTGTGATTCGTGGAAACACGAGACGGTTAGTTACAACAGGGAGGAAGATTCAGAGAATTGTTAGTCACTCGACTATTGGAGGTACTGTAGGAATCAGTTTTTGATGTAACGGGATATTTCGCGATCACTGTTATTAAATCCTAAGGCAGCGTTTCTCAACCTATGATTCACGAAAATAAAAATCGTTGTTTTTACTATCATAAATAGATCAGATGGTAATTTGTAAAATAGAAATTTCGCATGTAGGAGATATTGTATAAAACGTTGGATGTACATAATTTTGTTCATGTATAACATTTACAGGGTGTTTTATGTAATTGGGTCCAGGCATAAGTATGAAACGGTAAAAGATGGAAAAGAATTAAATGGCGTGGAACGTTGCATGAATTGAGGTTAGTATCTACTCCGAAAGTGGAGATATGTACAAAATTTCGAGGTTATTTTTTTGAACAGAATTGTACATTACAGATCTATACAGCAGTAGGTACGTCACTTTATAAAAGTCTATAAAAAAGGTATCAGAGAATTAAGGTAAAAAATTGATTAGTTTATATATTATTATTATTTGTAGTTTAAGTTGATGTGAATTCACGTTATTTATGTTTCTTTTCTATTTGTTGCTGACGTGAATTCGCGTTATCTAAAATTTTTTCCCGATTGTTCACGTGATTTCAAATATTAGAAACAGGAAAATGTATCAGTTTTGAGTGCATCAAAGAACGATCAAATTTATTGATCGAAGGTGCAAATATTGGAAAAAGGAAGTTAAAATATCTCCAAAACTAACAAATTTTCGACCTAACTACTTTAATATTATAAAGAACAAAAAGATACATCTACTTCTATATAAAAAAAATTACAATTTTATTAAAAAAAATTGTGGTAACCTTGAAATTTTCGAAATATCATTTCTAGTGTGTACGCATACACCAAGTCAGACACAGTATTTAACAACATTTAACTTTGTTCAATGAAATTTTTCCTATTTTCTGTCATTTCAGACTTATAACTGGACCCAGTCGCGTGAAACATCCTGTACACAGCGACCTCAGTTTACCAGGGTTTTAACCACTTAGGTTGGAATAACGTCTCTTACAGGTGGCTACTTCAAGCTAAGAGCGAGTTGCACGTGTTTCACTCTGATTTTTTTTACCTTAAGAAAGGTTTTACGTATTTCTTGTATATCAATTTTCACCAAAATTGGGGGCTATCTTACTTGTAACTAGACAATCTTAAGATTGAATAACATTGGATTACAATGAGTTACTAATTTATTTGAGGTGATATATATATTTCTATATATAAACTTCACTGATTCTACTTTATTTTATGTTTATTTTAATTATTATATCTATACAATTAATTTGATTTTTTTTATTTTATATTGTTTTGTATCTCTTTTATTTATTATTATGCTTCTTAGTACAATAACTTGCAGGAAATAGATATCTTTTATTACTTAATTATAGATCTTTTATTTTGTATTTTAAAAATTTATTTTAATAATCTTTTGTGCCAAAAATTATAATGTAAATAATTAATTGTAAACAGTAAAATGTCCCTTTTTGTACTATTATAATTAAAGAAAGAAAACAATAAACTTTTCATTTTATTACCTTATTAAACATTTTTGATAGCCTCAATTAATTATTGAAAAATTCAATAAGAGCTAATGGCTCACGTGGTCGTTGATTAAACTCCAAGCTAAGTGGTTAAAAATGTTATATAGAGTGCAGCTGAAAATACTGTACGAAGGGGTAGGGGGTAATTCCTCTCAGAAAAAATGTGTAGAAAAATATTTGACAGATAAAATATTATTGACAATATTTCTCTTCCTGCTACCATGAATCAAATGAATTGTAACAGTTGCGTGGAAATAGTGTTCAAAAATAATCGACATGCGTCAATATGCAGATTCAATTTTTGGGATCAAAAAATATTTTACATTCTTTCATATTTTTATTTATTTTTGTCCGAAATACTATATTCTGTCCATCTGAATTTAACTATATAATAGTATACATAAATGCAAGTATACCCGATGAACTTTTGTAATTAATTTTCTCCAAAAACCAAGTATCGGATGAAAAATATGTATCCCACATTTTCGGTTTATTTTTGCACGAAACGTCATGTCCTATTCCTTTGACTTTATTTTAGCTACAATTGTACGAATACCTAACGTTTTAAAAATTATATCGAATATTTTCGACATATTTTTGCCTGGAGTATCACGTTCAGTCCGTTTAACCTCACTTTCGCTATACGTACAAATAGGCACATCCTCAACGTATATTCAACTGCGATTTTCTCGGCAACCGAGTCTCAAATAAAAAAATTCTATTCTATATTTTTAACTTATTTTTGCACGAGGATTTAATTTATTTAATTTATTTTTCCTCCGTTCGCTCGTACAATATTTTCAGCTGCACCCTGCACTAGGGCCATTTATCTCTCTGCACCATTGCAAACCAGATATACCAAAATTAGCTGTGAGGACGTTGAGAAACGCTGTTCGGAAGAACGAATAAAATCAATTAAACGATTTAAATTGTATCAGGATTCTCAGATATACTTTTGCCAAAGTACCATTTGTTTCACCTACCTTTCCATTCCGGTAGGCAGGTACAGTTGTATCCGTCTTTATTACTCGTACACGTTCCACCGTTACTGCATGGGTTACTGGCACAGTAATTGATGGTGCAATTCGGGGGATTGCCCATGAATCCAGGTTTACAGACGCATTGCGGCCCATGCGCGTCTTCCACGCAAATACTATACGGCGGACACGCCACGCTCTCGCACAAGCTTCTGAGCTCGCAGAGCCGGCCAGCGTAGCCAGATGGGCAGTTGCAGTGATAGGAGCCAACGTCGTCCACACAGTCCGCGCCGTGCATACAGGGATTCGACAGGCACTCGTTCAAGTTTAGCTCGCAGTTCTGGCCCTCAAAACCATTCGGACAGTGACAGATGTAACCGCCGTAATTGTCGTAGCATACACCGTTGTTCAAGCAAGGATTCGCTAAGCACTCGTCGATGTCGATCTCGCAATTTGCACCTTCGTACCTGTAATTAGACGAAAATGATCGATAAATAATTATGACTTTTCCGTGTGACTATTAACTATTTTATCTAATTTTTAAAGCGGTGATTTATTTTTTTCACTTATTTTTGCACCTTCGATGGTAGTGATCGATGATTTATTATGACTTTTCGATGTGGCTATTGACTATTTTATCTAATCTTTTGATTGGTTATTTATTTTTCCTTTTCATTTTCATTTATTTATGTCGAGTAGATATGGTGTCGATAAATACAGTTTAGTATAGGTAGTAGACATATGTGTATTATGACATACTAGCTTTTAATATACTAATAATAGTCTAATTGTAGATGATTGTTCATATACTGTATCTTATCGTAGATACTTTGAAATGATGTTTTTAGTAATGATCGGAAAAGAGGAAATAAGTGATAGATATTTGTAACTGTACATTAAAATCACTTAAACAATTTTCTTTGATCCATATTTAGAAATTATTTGTAGGATAAATCTATTATTTACATGAAATTTAGATATTCTTAATAATTTATTTATATAAATTTATTATTGATAAAAGTATTACATATTGCGTATGCTATACAAATTTATTACTTATTCAGATCCTTTGTTTATAAATTATTTTAATGCTTTATGGTATGGTAGCGTTTGGACCAATAAAATCTTAATAAAAAAAAATGTTAATAAAATATTCGGATAATAATTTAACAATATCAGACAGATTACAAAATAGAATACTACTAGACGTAAGCCGAGCAGAAATTTCACATAGTACTCAACTAACTCTAATCCAATTATTTACACATGAATTTATGCTACAGGAACCAGAATTCAGATAGTGGAGACAATTACTGCACTATATCTTAACTAATTCCTTACTATATGACCAATTTGTCTCTTAATCCTTTCACGAATATATATAGAAAGAGGAGAATTTCAAGATTATATCAATAAAATTGGAAAATAATTCAACGATTACATTACATTACATTACATTTATCGGAGATACGGACCGTGGTGGCGCTAGTGAGTTAAGTAAAAAATCGTTTTAAGGCTGCCATAAAACGTTTACTCGTGAAAGGGTTGGAGGGTTGAAAGTATTGTAAATGGAATTGCACTATTTTTTCTCAATTTAAAAAATGCTAAATTCAAAAAAACTTACCCTGTTCTGTCGCATACGCAGGTGTAGTTGTTGATACCATCGATGCAGACTCCGCCGTGTCTGCAAGGATTCGGAGAGCATTCGTTGAAATTAGTTTCGCAATTCTTCCCAGTCCATCCAGGCAGGCACTCGCACTTATACTCGCTTTCAGTGAGCGCTAAACAAACACCGTCGTTTCTGCATGGACTTTGTTCGCAAAGTCGTACGCCGAGTTGGGATTCGCAGAAAGTCCCTGTGAATCCTGGCTTGCAAGAGCAACTGAAGTCTCCTTTCGAATCCTCGTTGCACGTACCACCGTTGCGGCAAGTATTGCTCATACATGGCGAACCTGGATTCGAGAGAAAGAGCGTTTTCAGGATTCGCTGCTTGGACAATTTATTGGGAGATTAGAACGAATTTATAGCGAAAATATGCAACACCAGTGCCCCAGAAGCCCAGACACCTGTTGTCAGACGGAAAAAGCGAATGGTGGGTGAAAGTCTTTGAAAATCATGATAGAGCTCACATGAAATTTACGATGGACTTAGGATCGCATAGAAATGGAATGTTTTCAGAATATACGGTGGATTTATGGTGACTCCGCAGCTATTTTATGGCGAAAATGTATAATGTTGATAATCCAGAAGCCCAGACACCTGTTGTCAGATAGACGAAGCAAACTGTTGGAAAAGAAGTTCAGAGTTGTGATAACGTAGATATGAAACCTATGATAGACCTGGATCTGATGGAAAGAGAATGATTTTGGAATGTACGACGAGTTTATAGTGATTCTATAGCGAAAATATACAGTGTTAGTACGCTAGAAATCTAGACACCTGTCGTCAAATAGAAAAAGCAAACTCATGAAAAAGAAGGTTAAAGTTGTGATAGACTAAATATGAAATTTATGATAGACCTGGATCTGATGGAAAGAGAATGCTTTTGGAATGTACGGCGAGTTTATGGTGATTCTATAGCGATTCTATAGCGAAAATATTCGGTGTTAGTACTCTAGAAATCTAGACACCAGTTGTCAAATGAAAGAAGCAAACTGTTAGAGAAGAATTCAAAATCGGGAAACCTATGACAGACATGGATCTGATAGAAATGGAATGCTTTTAAAGTATATTGCGAATTAATGATTATAGCAATTCTATAGCGAAAATATAAAATAGTATTAGTCCAGGAGCCTAGACACCTGTTGCCAGATAAAAGAAGCAAACTCATGGAAAAGAAGTTCAAAGTTGTGATAACGTAGATATGTAACTTATGATAGACCTGGAACTGATGGAAAGAGAATGTTTTTGGAATGTACGACGAGTTTATAGTGATTCTGTAGCAAAAATATACAGTGTTAGTACGCTAGAAATCTAGACACCTGTTGTCAAATAGGAAAGGCAAGCTCATGGAAAAGAAAGTTAGAGTTGTGATAGGGTTGATATGAAACTTATGATAGACCTAGATCTGATAGACATGTTTTTGAAATGTATTGCGTATTTATAGCCATTTTATAGTAGATACAGAATGTTAGTGTTTATGAAACCTCGACACCTGCTGTCTGATTGAATAAGCAAATTGACAAAGAAGACATTAAAAAGTATGACAGAGATAAGAAGCTTATGACAAGAGTGATGTTTCCAGAATTTACAATGCATTTGTTGATTTTCTATAGCAATTTCATTTTGAAAGTGTACAACAACACTACACCACTCCAGTTTAGACATTTGTTTGTTGATAAAAACAAGAAACTATAAGAAAAAATATCGAAGAAAGTTATATAGTTGACACGAAACTTACAATGGACTAGAGTGTGATGGAAATACAATGTTTTCAGAAAGTACAGCGAATTTATAGAAATTCTGTAACAATTCTTACATATCTGTGCAATGTCAGTATCTCACAAGTTCAGACACATATTGTTCGATAAAAGAAGCACTATATAACAGAGAAAATCCAAGAAGATGATGAAACTGATACCAAATTTATAGTAGACGATGTTTTTAGAATTTATTCGCGTTTACAGCGATACTACAGCGATTTTATAGCGAAGATATACAATATTGGCATCACACAGAAGTTCAGATACCTGTTGTTAGATAAAAAGGACAAACGTTTGAAAAGGTATCCAAGATCGTTATAGTGTTGACTTTGAATTTATGATAATTCTAGATTTAATAGGAACCCGATGTTTTTAGAATTTCCCAAAAATTTGTTAACGATTTTATAGCGAACATAGATGGCTTAAAAATCCAGATACTTGTTAGCCAATTAAAAAAATACTACTTGCAACAGACGATGTTTCCAGAATTTGCGTTGAGTTTATAGCAACTCTATAATGCTCCTATAGCAAATCCATTGTGAAAATATACGTTATCAATGTTCCAGAAGAACAGACACCTGTTACATAAAAGAAGAGGAAAAAATGAGAAATACGACAGAATCTACATGATCCTCGCAACAGACGATGTTTTTACAGTAGTTAATAAATTTATAGCGACCTCATAATGATCTTAAAGTGATTTTACCGTGAAAATATGCAACGTCATTATTCCTGACACTCGTATACCTGTGATGAGATAAAAGAAGATAACCATAGGAGAAGAAAACCATAGCAGAAGAAAGCTAGCATAATAGTAGTATACAATACTACTAAGTAATAAATGCTACTAATTATTGTACCACAATATTAATAGTAGTATAGTGCACACAGTAGATGACATAATAGTAGTATACAATACTACTAATTAATAAACACTACTAATTATTGCACTGCAATATTAATAGTAGCATAGTGCACACCGTAGATGGCATAATAGTATTATACAATACTACTAATTAATAAATGCTACTAATTATGGCACTGCAATACTAATAGTAGTATAATGCACACCGTAGATGGCATAATAGTATTATACAATACTACTAATTAATAAATGCTACTAATTATGGCACTGCAATACTAATAGTAGTATAATGCACACCGTAGATGGCATAATAGTATTATACAATACTACTAATTAATAAATGCTACTAATTATGGCACTGCAATACTAATAGTAGTATAATGCACACCGTAGATGGCATAATAGTATTATACAATACTACTAATTAATAAATGCTACTAATTATGGCACTGCAATACTAATAGTAGTATAATGCACACCGTAGATGGCATAATAGTAGTATACAATACTACTAATTAATAAATGCCACTAATTATTGCACTACAATATTAATAGTAGCATAGTGCACACACACAGTATTATGGTATAATAGATGGTACAATGGTAGAGACAGCGCGATTTATGACGATGTTTATAGGATGCACAGGAAAATTATAGCGAAACTGTGCATGGTCAGTGTCCCAGAAACCCAGACACTTGTAATCAAATAAAAGAAAGAAACGGTAGGAGAAGAGATTGAAAAACGCGATGGACCTGGTACGAGACTTATCTTCGAAAGGCAGACAGGAATGTCAGCACAGTTCTTATTGACAGCGGCCAAGGAAATGTATGGAATGATGATGTTCCGTATTCCGAGTACTTAGCGTCTCTGGCATGCTAATCCTCTCGGGTTCGTGATCGAAATAAAATTACAGAGTCAGATGTCCAAGCAGAGTGTTACGAGTCGCTTATAAGCAATTTTCATTCGGCTCTACTTCAACTTAAATTGATGACTAAGGACACGTTATCGAGTGATAGGAAGCATTTTCATAGAAGTCAATAAGCTGATAGGAGTAAATGGTAGTCTAGGAGAAGCAAAACATGCTCGTGCAACGATTATAGATGAAAGCCAAAAATAGCATTCATGGCTGAGTAATCCCACGTTGACATTTCGAACATTTCCGTTTTTGTAAATATCTATATGCTCGTAGTATATGTTATAGAGTGTATACTATAAGCAAACTGTGCCATGTTACGTATAGCATAATATGGTATACTATAAAATATACGTGTATACTATTATTATAGCAAATTGTACTGTATAGTATAATGTAGTATATAATGTAGCATAATATAGTATACTATAAAATATACGTGTATACTATTACTATAGAAAACTGCACTGTACAGTATAATGTAGTATATAATGTAGCATAATATGGTATACTATAAAATATATGTGTATACTATTATCATAGTAAACTGCACTGTACAGTATAATGTAGTATATAATGTAGCATAATATGGTATACTATAAAATATGTGTATACTATTATCATAGTAAACAATACTGTATAATATAAAATAATACAATACATATATGTATATACTATCTATATACGTCTATATCTGTCCATATATCTACTTATTATATGGTGTAAAATAATCTATATTTTATGATAACATATATATACATATTTTATAGTATACTTTATCGTATTACGTAGTATAATTTACCATTATGCATACATATATGCAATAATATATTATAATATATTATTTTTGCAAATGATAATATAATGTATAATATATATAATAGTGACACGAGTAAAATTTATTATTATATATATATATATATACACACGCGCAATAATAAATTAAACTACACATATATACATTATATGCATATCACGTATATATAATAATAAATTGCTATACATACAGTACACACTAATTATACATCATATATAGTACTGCAGTACTATATTGTACAGTATCTACGATATATAGCATATACCATATACGTTATGAATAATGTCATACGATGTACGGTATATGTACATTACGTATACAGCATAGTACAACATACTCGAAATCATACGAGAAAAAAATGTTGAAAATTTATTCCAACGCGTAATTTAATTGCGATATCTCATGCGTTCATGTAAAATGGCTGTTATCTCGTTGATGGTAATAAAAAAAAGGACATAACCGAGGTTAACGTGTAGGTCTACGAGGCCATGAATCTATCTCTATCTTTCACCCGGTGCCAAAATCCCGTATTCGACGTCGATGTCTACCGTTGTCAATTTGACAGTTGTTGCCGGAATATCGGGCGTAACAGTGACACTCGTAACGATCCTGCCGTGACACGCATTTACCATGCATCATGCATGGCTCGTGATGGCAGAAATCCATGGTGGTGATTGCGCTTGCTCCTACACCACCGTTAAGTCCGCTCGTACCACCTGAAAGTTTCGTAGGAGTGTCTGCCATGCAATCTGCTACATGTATAAACGGTACACACGGTCACACGCGTAGCCCGAGAATTTACGCAGGTATATAGGGACTAGCTATACGTGATTTTCACTCTTAAGGATGTGCATCGAGTTAAAATTCTACTGCTCTTACTTTCGATTACTGCGTCTTTCTTTTTGCCAAATTCAAATACTACGAAGAATGTTGGGATAATTATATCGATATAGAAAATTCATTTTTGGGCGAATTATGTGATGTTAAAATTGAATTTGTGTTTTGGAAGAATTGGATTGGTATGAGATTTGTGTTTTGGGGAAATTAGGTTATTATGGTGTGAGAATGGTGTTTTGAGGAAATTAGGTTATTATAGTATGAGATTTGTGTTTCAGGGAAATTATATTATTATAATATGGAATTTGTATTTCTGGAGTAATTATATTAATATTGAATTTCTATTTTGGAGGAATTGGATTAGTATGAGATTTGTGTTTTGGCGAAATTATGTTATTATGGTGTGAGAATGGTGTTTTGAGGAAATTAGGTTATTATATAGTGTGAGATTTGTGTTTCAGGGAAATTGTATTATTATAATATGAAATTTGTATTTTTGGAGTAATTATATTAATATTGAATTTCTATTTTGGAGGAATTGGATTAGTATGAAATTTGTGTTTTGGGGAAATTATATTATTATGATATGAGATTTGTGTTTCGGGGAAATTATATTATTATAGTATGGAATTTGGATGTTTGGGTATTTGTATTAAAATAGAATTTGCACTTTTGAAAAATTATATCGATATAGAACTTTTATTTTGGATGTAATTATATTAATATTGAATTTTTATTTTGGAGTAATTGGATTGGTATGAGACTTGTGTTTCAAGGAAATTATATTATTATAATATGGAATTTGTATTTTTGGAATAATTATTATTTGGAATTAATTTTGAATTTTTATTTGGAGTAATTGGATTGGTATGAGATTTGTATTTTGAGGAAATTATATTATTATAGTATGGAATTTGGATTTTTGGATATTTGTGTCGAAATAGGGTTTGCATTTTTGAAAAATTATATCGATACAGAACTTCTATTTTTGATGTAATTATATTAATATTGAATTTTTATTTTGGATTAATTAGATTGGTATAGGATTTGTATTCTGTGGGAATTATATTATTATAGTATAGAATTTTGATTTTTGGATAACTGTGTCGAAATAGGATTTGTTTTCGAAAAAAATGTATTAATATAGAATATTGTGTTTTAGAATTATGTTCGTATAAAATTTAGATTTTGATATAATTATTTAACTATGATATTTGTATTTTAAAATAATTATATTAATATAGAATTCTTTAATTGTGGACTATAAAATATAAAATTTGTTATTTTAATTTAATTATATCGATTAGTAGTCTAAAATAATTCTAATAATATGGAATTTTTGTATTTTATTATTTTGTAAAATTATATCGATAGAAAATTTGTGTTTTAGAAAAATCATATAATAATATAGAATTTATGATTGTGGATAATTTTATCGATATGAAAATTATATTTAAAAAATATTATAACAGTATGGAATTTATTTCTGGATTAATTATATCGATATGGAAATTGTTTAAAATGATTATATTAACTTTCCAATTTTTGCATAATTATATCGATATAATATTCGTATTTCAGTATAATTTTAATGATATAGTATATTTCTAAATCTTACTATTTCCTATAATTATATTTTAAAAATATCATATCCATATGAAATTCATTTTCTAGAGTCATTATATCGATATGGAACTTCTTTAAAATAATTATATTAACTTTTCAATTTTTGCATAATTATATCGGTATAATATTCGCATTTCACTATAATTTTAATCATATAGTATATTTGCAAATTTAATTATTTTGCATAATTATATCGATAAAGAATTTGTAGTTTAGGCTAATTATATCGATATAGAATATTTCCTAAATGTCTGCTAGTTTCTAAGTTTCTACTTTCCGAATACTCGTGACTTTACGTGGCTAGATTTTTGATATTTATATACTGTTAAAAGAAGTATCTGATAAGAGAACGTTGAAATCCTTACATCCTTTATTTTCCGCAGGGCAGGGACCGAAAACTGCTCCATTATTGATGGTATCGTTGAAAAGAATGCCAGGACCTTGGAGGATGCATCCTCTGAATCCTTCTCCCACGATGAGGGAGCCATTCATATCGTAATCAGGTAGCATAAGAATCGCAGCATTGTACGTTGCATTTGCAATTACCTAAACAGAATAAACATGCACGTTATTTCAAAAATATAACTAAACTTCCTTAATTTAATATATTTGCAATGATAAAATCACTCTTTCAATGATTAAACATTTTCAGTCATTAAACAGGACTTCTTGACATGAGGGTATTCATAAATTCTTATTTTTGGTTTCTGCAGTAACTATACTGAAGTAAAGTATACTGAAGTAACTATACTTGGTTTCTAACTATACTGAAACTTGTTCTTATCTTTTGGCTGCATAACGAATTTAAATGATCGTGATTTAAGTTTTTAGTTATTAATTTAAAGTTTTTAGAAATTTACTTTTTAAAGGAATTTTTAGAATTTCAATTTTTAGGGAAATTCTTAAAATACATTTTCGAAGAGATTCTGAAAACTTCGTGCTTGAAAGAAATCGTTAAAAATTCAATTTTCAAAGAATTAAATATTTTAATTTTCAAAGTAATTATTAGAAATTAAATTTCTCTTAAAGTTCTTAGAATATTGATTTTTAATGAAATGTTTAGGACATTGATTTTAAAGGAAAATTGATTTTAATAGAATTACAATTTTCAAAGAAATCGGAAATTTAATTTTCAAAGAAATTATTAGAAATTAAATTTTTCTTAAAGTACTTAGAATATTGATTTCTAATGAAATACTTAAAACATTGATTTTAATAGAATTACAATTTTCAAAGAAATCGGAAATTTAATTTTCAAAGCAATTATTAGAAATTAAATTTTTCTTAAAATTCTTAGAATATTGAAACTTCATCTTTCAAAGTTGAATATTAAAACTTCATCTTTCAAAGAAATCCTAGAAAATTCAACTTTGAAAAAAATGTATGGAGTTTAATTCTTGAAGAAATCCTTAGAAATTCAATTTTGAAGAAGTTTTAATATCTGTGGTAGAAAAATTTATTAAAATTAGAATTTATAAAATATAAATTTATAAAATTAAATTTGTTAAAATAATAAATTTAAATTTATTATAATTAACAAGCAACTAACTATAAGTGGTGTTGTAATAGATTTATAGAATAGGGAGAACCCATAAATACTTAACACATTGAGTATCTATTACCAAGATGTCCCCTAATAGGTAAGTATTACCTACGTGGTAAAGGGTATTTTATTCAGTAGTACCAACTGTGAGATATCTTGTACCTTTTGCTTACTCTCTGATTAGAAATAACACTAGTTTCTATTCTCATTATATTATATTCCCATTAAATTTAAAATAATACAATGATTAAAAACAGTATAATAAATTTTTAAAAGCTTTGCTGTTGCCTTTGAACGAAATTTCACCATCAAAGACAAAGCTCGTATTTTCGTTCTCAACCTGTTAAAATGCAATTTAAATGGTTTCAAAGGCGGAATACTGCTAAAAAAATAAATTTTCTTTCACAACCATTTTTTCAAATTTTTCAAAGTCATTCATATTTTCCTTACAGGGAAGTATATACTCTTTCTTATTACATTTTTAACCGAATATTAAAGTACACTCAAGTGCACTTTGAGTGCATGCGTGAATTATATTATAATATAATTACGTGACCTTGATTTTATATATAATTATATGAATTAATATGTGAATGAATTTATATATAATTATATGGCCTTGAGAGCAATTGTGAAATATTATTTATAGTTCTATAATTTTCTTTATAGTTATTAGTATACATTTTACAGTTATTAATTTACATCAATACATATTAGTACAGGTAACCCTCCTATAACACGGTAGAGAGGTTCCTAGAAAATGCTGTGTTGTGTGAAACCGTGTTGTATGAGACCCAGAGTCGGTACAAAAAGGGGGTTACGTTCTGAAATAAATTTCTTCCTTAATTCTACATAAACAACTTAATTCTTATTAAAAATATAAATGTATGTACAACACAAAAAAAATATATATTTTAATTTAACGCAACTTTAATTTAATTAATTTCTTCGTTATCACTGCTTATGTAGAAGTACAGTGTTTTACAAAGGTTTTTGCAATTTTCTTATCGTGTTAGAGCGAAACCGTGTTATAGGATGCCGTGTTGTAGGGGGGTTCCCGTTATTTATGAATCGTGTTATAGTGACACCGTGTTATAGGATGCCGTGTTGTAGGAGGGTTCCCGCAATTTATGAATCGTGTTACAGTGAAACCGTGTTATAGGAGGGCTACCTTTATATAAATTTACAGTTTATGTTGCGAATGCTTAAAATGATGCTCAAAATACACGGTATTTAAAACGAGCATTCAAAAATTCAGATTTTTGCAATTCTGTCTACAATAATTAATGGAATTTCTGCAATTACATTTTTAAATTATACCACTGAATTATACTATAAATTTGATTATACAGCGTACCACTTTTTCTTGAATTTAAGCTTTTATGATTTAGGTTTGTCCCATCAACTTCCTTCATAGAGGTAAAAACTGTCAAGGTCATTATGGCTAATGGAATAATTTGGAGAGTTTTCAGTGGACATTCGGGTAGCTGCGAATAACGAGACGAGCAATTACCACGTAATCTAACAATTATTTGCAATTCAATTTAACAACATATTAATACGTACAAATAAGTAACGTAAATAACCCAATAAGAACGTTTTGATTCGTTAATTGCTCGTTTTGGAACACGTATATACCTGCTGATGCATATTAGTTTGAGCATTCGTAACTTAAAAAGTGAGTTATGAGTAATAACAACAATAACAATTATTATCGTTCTTATTGTTATTGTTGTTGTTATTGTTCTTTTTCTTCTTATTATTATTATGGTTGTTGTTGTTGTAACAATAATTATTTTCATAAAACATAATAACAACATAAAAAGTGAGTTATGAATAATAATAATAATTATTATTATTACTATTAATATTATTATTGTTCTTGTTATTATTACTATATTATTATTAATATTAACAACAACATCGGTGATAATAATTATTATTAATGTTACCCAGAACTCATTTTTTATGTTGCTATTATAATAATAGTAATAATAATAATGACAGTGATAATAATAATAGTACCAATAATAATAATAGAAGTGATAATACTAACGTGAGCATAAATTGGGATTTAACTACACTTTTTTACATTAAAAATCATCTCGAAGCTATAACTGTCAGCTATTCCTCAAAGGTACTCGCGATAGAGCTCTATCCATATAGAAAACTGTACCACTTCATGACCCATTTTCACTGAGACCAGTGCAGCAAGATCAGTGAAATTTGAACCGAGTGTTCTGCTAATGGCTCTAAATGAATCGAGTACACGACATTTTTATATAGCATGTACAGGAAAAGAGCCATGTGATATTTAATAAATCTGGCAAAAAATTATGGATTCGAATTTTCATTCCTTTTCTTTTTCTTGTTTCTCAAGCATATGCAGGTATTATTTTTCATTATTTCTTACTTCAATATGTTTATTAAATTTTCGTTACATTACTACTTGAAGCAGTGTCAAATTTCTTTCTTACGTCTCAATTTTGAGAAAATGGGTAAAATGTATGAAAAATATAATTTCATATAATATCTTCGATTGTTTGGCACGAGGTGACAATTTTGACAATTTTTTGGCTAACTTGCATGTCCACCGGTCGTATCCGCTGACGCGAATTCACGTCATTCGTGATCTTTTTCTGATTGCCACTGACGTGAATCCACGTCATTTAAAATTCCGTTTCTGGCTGTTTTCGACCAGATTTCAAGAAATAATTGTCTACGAGTCTAATATTTTGAAATAACTTATGCGATTTTTATTTTCTTTTTAACGAAGCAGGTCTGCAAAAACCAGCTTTTCAATTTTTTAATGTTACTCGTGTAGGAATGTTGGGTAGACAACAGAGTAAGCAATGATGTAAATATAAAAATGATTTATTATAAACTAAAACTTATTCTATGCGTTAATAACTTTCGGCTGACTCTCAATTGCTGACTCTCAAAAATTCTATGACTGATTCTAAAACACACTGACTCTTCCGCGTCCTTGCACTCTTATTTAACCGTTTGAGTCCCAAGCAGCGCGATCGCGCTCAAGTTTGCTGATGCATGTAAGTCACATATTACCAACAAGCGCTATTGCGACGATTGGGATTTTTCGACATAAAATTAAACAAGCGCTATCGCACCGTTTGGACTTCTTCGCACTCGATTAATCCCTTGACTACTGTGGGCGTTTATGGGCGCTTAGAAATCTTGCGTTGGTGACACGGAGAGCGTCTGTAGGCGATCAGAAATTTTGCGTTTGTGACACGAAGGGCGCCTATAGGCGCTTAGAAATTTTGCGTTTGTAACACGAAGGTCGCCTATGGGCGCTCGGCATAGTTTGACTTTCTGACACGGAGGACGCTTGTTCTCACAAAAATGGCGCACATCGTAACTCAATTCCTGCCGTATGGTAGGGCCGTTGCGTATCGAAATCTGCCGTAGTCAAGGGGTTAAGGCAGGCGTTATCGCGCTGTTCAGGGTTTTTCGACCGTGTTCTTTCGAAAGCCTCAAGCGCTGCTTGGGACTCAAACGGTTAACACATTCGCTACTCCGGGGGAATATAATCACCGGTCACGAGACGCCATCTACACACGAGTGATCATAGTCACCGGCCACGAGACGCCATCTGCACACGACGGGTGACTATAGTTACTGGCCCCAAAAATTGAGTAAACAATTAAGACGAGTGTACCGTTCCTTTTAGCTCTCTTCGCAAAGAATTGCAAGCCCTATTGCGATGGTCACTTTTTCCTTTTCCTTTTTTCTTCGAAAAATTTGCGTCGAAAGACCGAAATCTGAAGATTGCACTATCGTAATGTTGCCATCTTTGACACGTGACTTCGTTCTACGGGAGAGACTTCGCGGCGACGCTTGTAAAAGGGTTAAACCTTGTACTCTGTCTTCTTTCATGCTCATGTTCTTCTTCTCAATCGATGGGTCACGTATCCTAAACACTCAGACGCATTCCTAGGCTTTCACACTTCACTTGCATTCGGTTGTGTCATAAACATCCCTTACATTCGATCCTCTTGCACGTGGTCACTTTCCTTCTAAGCCCAAACACTCTTGACATTCTTTCAGGGCCGTACATATTCCTTTTCTATACTCATATATCGGTATTCAAAGTATTAACCCTTTCGCGACGGGTACCGTATACAGTGCTGGACAAAAGTATTGGCACAGCATGGTTGTTGTGGTACAAGTGCTTATAACTATTAAACAAATTGATTCGAAGGAAAAATTTTTTGACATATTCATTTATTATCTATTCTAGTTTATTACATAGTAGAAGCAATAATATAAATACACTGATTCACGAAACGATAACAAAAATGTATTTATTGAACATTTATGGGTGGACTATATTTCTTATTGAGGCACAAATAAAGCCTTTTGTGAAAAAGCAGGAAAAAAAGGACGCGTTTAGGGAAAAGCCCCTAAACTGCTAATTACTAATATGTATTAGTATATATATATAATATAAATATATATGTATTTAATATTATTAGTAATTTATATATTAATTTCAATAGCGGACTCAAAATAAAGCTAGTACAAGCATAAGGTAAAGCAGAAAATGGTGGCAAAGTATGATCAGTCGCGCCATCGCCAAATGGTTAAGAAAGGCAATTATTTTTTTTCGAGAAACTTTTACACCTAGGAAAATTTTATACATCAATTATAACGTATATTGTCGCAATTAGATGAAAAGAAATTAAAAAATGACGAAAGAAAAATAATAAAAATCTATGAAGGGAGAAGAAAAAGAGTCTTATAAAGAAAAGAAAATTAAAATATACGTTGCAAGAAGAGAAGGAAGATGATCTTAAAATATATTATAAAATCTTTCCTTTTTTCCCTAAAAAAGGTAGTTATGAAGTGTATTATTTCTTGTATTCAGTATTGTAGGATAATTTAGTATAGTCTACAAAAATAATTTTAGAATATACGGTAAAAATGGAAGAAATTATTTTTTAGCTTACAGATCTTCTAATGTATTTAAATATTAGCTACAGAATGTGTTAAAGGAATATATTTGCTTTTTTCCAATAAGGTATCAAAAAGATTTGAAAAAAGAATTTTATTTTTCCATGATATTCCCCTTCTGAAATTATTCGAATTGTGCTTTAAGTATTTACATGTTCTCGGTACACTGTGAACAAATTTAGCGCAGAATACATTAGTATATTTAGTACATATAGTATAAAGTACATTTAGTACATTTTGTACAGAATACATTTAGTACATTTTGTACAGAATACATTTAGTACATTTAATGCAGAATAAATTATTCTTACTCTGCGAATCTACCATAGAAATAGTACATATGCGCTCATAATTATGAAAGCGGTCTGTCATCGACTTAAGAGGAACGATTTTATTATTTATTTCGTGTTGCATTCATTTATATTACGATACAATATATTTATTTTCTACAAAACAGTGAAAAATTGAATCGTTAGATCGAGTTTGTAGCTTTATCGCAATTTATTTTATAATTTATGACGTAATATAATAATTTAAAAGTCGAAGCTTTTAATATTTCAGAAGCAAATACAAGTGACTTAGACCACTTTCATAATCACAGGTACATATGGCTAAATTAGTATAATTCTGTATTAGATTAATACAATTATATTTTGTATTAAATTAATACAAAATTATAGCAAACTAATAGATAGTGGCATTTTAGAAATTACACATTGTGAGTTAGCATTTAAATCCCCTTGACAGTAACAAATTTAATAATAATATATATCTAAATTGTACAAGTTACAATTCTGCGGATTACTATAATTACTATAATTATAAAAAATATAATAATCCGATAAAAAATAATAAAATGTTTAAAGTTATTTACCCAATTAACATTTAAAATTTGTAGTTTCTAATTTAGCAATTCGATAGTGTAGGTGCAGTGCACATATCAATAGAAAATGGGTAAACTCGTGAAATACTGTTTTGCCATTAGAGGATTCTAAAAATTGTAATTTTTATTCCACATTTTTTTGCAGAAATGCATAACTTACTGGACACATAGAAAATATATGCAGTGGTTGTGGCCAAAATTTGAAAATGCCATTTTTATAAATATTTCAAGCACATTTCATTTATTTCAGGTCACGCATAAATTTCAAGCTGTATTACAAAGAAATAAGTGACATTGATATATTGTTTAAAACACCAGTTCTAATTAACAGATTAGCACACATTAAAATTGCAAATATTTTTAAAAACGTTTAAAAAGAAGAGTCATTAATTCAAAATAGCTTAACACTTGTTTTCTGATTTATTTATATATTATACAGAATCCGGCCAAATAATGCATAAATGAGGGCATAGCGTGATACCTTATTAAAAAGTAAGTCAAAAATATAGTACAAAATTTTTTAATTTTCGGCTTAGTTCTTGAGAAAATCGAATTTGAAAATTTACTGCGTATATATAGTACAGTAACACGCTATAGTATAACATTCTCCACAAGTGTCAAAATATTTTCCATAAAATATTTCAGTATATATAGTACAGTAACACGCTATAGTATAACATTCTCCACAAGTGTCAAAATATTTTCCATAAAATATTTCAAATTTTATTTGATTTCAAAATCAATGACGAACCGATTTTGACAAAGATTTTGAAAAAAAAAGGAAAAGGAAAATATGAGAAACGTTAATTTTTACCCTATACATTTTACCCTAATGCTTTTTTACTAAAATTTACTAAAATAATAAATAAACTTTTACTAAAATAATTCTAAAAAATGTAGAATAGTTCTAAAAAATCGATCGATAGTGTAGGATGTTTTAAAAATTCTACCTGAAAAAATATAGTTTCATTAAAAAAAAATTCAGTTGCACTTTGTAAATGCACCGATGCACTTGAGAAAAGAATTGCACTATAGGATAATACAATTTGTTAAGTAGTGCAAAATTTTCCTCTGTAACTTTTTCCTAAATTTATTTGGAACTGTGCTGCAGCTCGGCCCAGTTACTAGATTCGCCTCGTATATACAGGGTGCTCGCGAAATCGTGGCACGACCATCGAGTCGATAATTTCTCGCATAAAATTGACTCGAAAATGTAGAATAAAATTTTTTAAATGATTAAAAATAAAGTGTCAAAAATATTGTGAAATTATTTAGTTATGTTAGTTTAAAATGGCTTACTGGACAGCATTTGTGTGCTATCTTTTTGACCGGGAGTGTACATAAGAAATATAAACCTAATTCATATAGTACACTGGAAATAATATTCCAATAAGATTCGCGAGTATTAGCACACGACAAATAAATAAATGTTAAACCTATTTCATTAGTTATCCTTAAATATTTCACACATAGGAATTTTATTTTAACACTTTGCTGTCGGCAGATGCACTAAACAAAAATTTTGAAAATTTCCACTTCTATGAATGGTGTAGGGTATTAATAAAAATATGATATAATGTATTCAAAATTTTAAATTTGTTTCGATATCCTCTACAATGTGGCAAAAAAAAAAATATATATATATATCCTATTTGTTTAATTCAAGGTCACCTTGATCTCTATATGAAGTTTTTTTGTATCGACACTTATTATATAACCTATACTGCTCAACTTTTGTGCTAAACTTTTTTTTGTCAAATGATTATAAGAGGGTGAGAAAATCATGCATCTCATTAAAGGTAACACCCGGTATATAGATATTTGTTCTCATCCTACCTATAATTATTATTATTTGTGCATTATTTATTCAGCTACTCATAGGTCGGTAGCTCTAGTTTAAATTTTCCCGCCCTTTGCACTCGGTGATTTTTTCGTTACTGGAAAACAGTAATTCGAAGACTTTCTGCCATAAAGTCGATGATATTTTCAGAACGGTAAATAAGAAATGCAAATTAATTGTATGACGTAGAATTATTTTACCTCGATATTCCACGCGTCGTTGGGTAATTTTAAATTCGAGATATTAATTAATATCGATCTTTAGAACCTAAAGTCGCCCTTTAAATAGTGACTAAGGGTCGGCTCTCGAGTGCAAAGGGTTAATAATAAAGAGATTTACATCCTGGATATACGTTGATTACCTGCGTATGACCAGCCGCGTTTAACGTGAGATTGCCGAGTCTGAAAAACAGATTGACATTGTGCCAAGCGTTATTCAGTAACCTGGCGTTGAGTCTCGCTTTATATCGTTGTTGATCAACGATGGCCGCGAACAGAAGTCCATCCGGGGTCACCTCGAGACTAATCGAATCCTCGTTGTACTTCTGTATAAAGAGACGACCTCCTTCGCACGTCCGAAAACTCAGGCCGCTATGCCTGTGCACGGACACGAACGAGCCGAGTTTGAGAAACGCCGAGCCGTTGAAGTACGCCTCCCTAGGACGTTCATCGTAGTTCTTGTGCCTGACGTCTTGCGGCGCTTCGTCGGTGACTACTAATAAACTAGTGAGTACTGAAACAGAAATTTGAAACATAACCTGAGCGTTGTTTTCTTTGTCGGTGTTAATATATCAATTGTAATAATTATGATATCGTGTATTAATGATATTATAATAAGTAAATACAAAATCTCTCGATTTATTTTTCAATGCTTGCATTATTCTCTATACATCATTAGAATAAAAATTATTTTTCATGTCATTTATACATATCTATCCTTTGCTTTGATATTTCTTTTTGTATTGCATTGTTATCGATTCGATCAATTATGTTTTATTACGTACAAAGAATTATCTTGTATATTTGAGAAATACAAAAAAATATTAAAAATTTTATTCATGTACAGGGTGAGTCACGAAAAATAGGACTCCTAAATATGTCTGTTATTTATAGTTGTATTTAAAGACTTCTTAGGACAAAGTTTCCTCAGTTGAAGAGACGTGTACAGTAATGAGGAGAAAATTGATCACGGTCCCTTTTTTATGCGAAGTTATTAATATCTTTTTTTCAATGGTATCATATATTATATATAAATAATATAAAAATATATTAATTTGATATATTAATTAATAAATAACTGTTATATATTAATACTTTACTATATTGTATTATTGTATTATTATTATTATTATTGTATTATTGTATGTATATAATATTACTATATTGTATATTATTATATTGTGGTAACAATATTAAAATTATTATGAATATATGTCCTTAAGTTATGAAAAGAGTAAATATAAATTAGCGTAGCGTAGTATGAATATAAACTAGAATAAAATTTCACCAAAATTAAAATTTATACGACCGAAATTTTTTTTACCAAATAATAATATTGAACAGTCAAAATAAATATTACACATATTTTCTTACATATTATTTACTTGTATTGACATATGTATCTATGTATTACTACACACATATGTGAATAACTATTATATTCTTGATAACGTAAAACAGGATATTTAATTAATTAATAAATATCAAATTAAATAAGGATTCAACATTTTTTTTCAAATTGGAATTTTCTATCAAACATCCCAAGTAATGTTCATAATCGAATATATGAACAATTGCAGGCATTTATTGAAAGTAACAGATGCAAGAGACTGAATTCGATAAGGTATGTGTATGTCCTAATTTCTGTTATCATTAGTGGCTTGAAACTTCGGTTTATAATATAGATAATGCATGGTAGTATTGAATTCTAATCGACATATGTCAAAAGATTTGGTTTCTCTGCTCACAGATACGTTAAATTTAGGTTGCCAACTAGCACACCTCGCAGCTCACGACTAAATACTTAGATAATTATCCAAACATTTACTTAAATATTAAACGAAACTATAATAAAAATATAAACATATAAATAAATAAATATAAATTACACTTTATATTTAATTATATCAAACACAATAACAAATCACTCTAATTTCAGTTTTACAATTATAAATCATTAAATTACAATAAATTAAATGTACCCGAACAAACATTAATTTACTTTTTATAATTTTTATTTTATTTATAATTTATAACTGTTAGGTTATCATTTTATAAACATCTTTCCATATAAATTCTGTTCCATTAAAGACGTATACTATAGATATTTGGAACTTCGTAATTCTCACTAGCTTACAATTTCCACTACGACGTATTGCGAATTTAATGTAACAAAACAAGTTCTGCAGTATTTAATTCCTTTCATTAAGTGCTTTAAAAATACTAGCAACATTGGTGAGTCCACAAGCAAGGCGGCTGATGAAGTGCACTGCACCCACAGGAGGATCGATGGTAACCAATAAATAATGCATGAGATGCATCTGCACGCCCTCGTAAGGTTGTATAGTTGGAAGAGACGGCCGTTTAAGGTGGACATTACGGTTATACATCGGTGAAAATTCGTTGAAATCCTATGACTCGATTCATTCATACGTATATATTACATCACGGTATTAACCATAACTTAATGGATTTTATATTCAATATTTACTTCCTATAAAATAAATATCTCTTTGCACCTCACTGGCGCCATTTTGGGGACATTGATAACCTCTCACGTTGCTTATTTAATTTTACTTTCATCGATAAAGATGGAAAATAGAAAAAGGAAGAAATATTGCGCAAATAAATTCATTTAATTTATAATTTTTTCCCTTTCCAAATAGGATCTTTGATTTGATGAAAAATTTCGTTGGGGTTACTAGTAGACCAAAAAGAAAAATTCTCAGAATTCTAAAAGATAAATTGAAACAAATTTTCTACAAAAGAAAAACAATAAGACAAAAAATAAAAATACAGTAAATAGCGTCTAAACAAAAATTTGAAAAATTCTGTTCCTTAATGTGCATATATAGACTACACCCCACATGCAATTGCCTTTGATAAACTCAGAAATATTTAAAGTCGCCGAAATGAAAATTTCAAAAATTTGCAATAAAAAATACCTCTCCACAAAAATATAAAATTAACTGAAGAAATAGTCGAGAATTATTAAAAATATCGTTTAAATATAAATTACAAAATACTTCGATCTTCGATATTATAATTTAAAAAAAAAAAAAAAATTGAAACGAAATAAAATAAAATTATATATTTACATCATTACCACAATATCACATCAAATCGTCTAAATTTCATACCTTACATAAAATGAACAAGAAGTGACTCGCGTCTATCTACATTTATCACTGAAAGAAGCAAACGATTTATTCTTTCTCTAATTTGTACAATTCGTATAACGCTATTTGTCCATGGCGAATGGATGGGATACCCTCGAAATAAAAATAAGCCTGCTGTGCAGATTGCCAGGGGGAAACGAAATTTAAGGTACATTATAATGCGACGGAGTTAACGCCGAGTCCTTGGCCTTGTCTGTCCACGCTTCGAAATATATCAATAACGGATAACCTTCGAACGCATGGAATTCGTGGAAATGGAGGATGCACGAACAAATGTTTTCCGAATGATTAATATCGCGAAAGATGATACTCCGCGCTATACCGTTGTCGAGGCGACGCAAAAGTCGCGAATGCTGGAATAAACTGTGAGAATTTGTAGGAAAGGAAAAAATAGAATACGTGTACGCGATAGTAAAGAAATCATAAATGATTTATAAGGATTAACAGTTCTTATGCAACCGTTAATTAGAAAGGTCCTGAAATATCGTTTGTTATGTCCAAAGAAAATTAAACGAATACGAAAGAAAGGTTTTAGCTGATAATAACATGGAAATTGAGTTCGTTTGTAAGGAATAGTACATTGGAAATACTCGCCTGCTTATTCTGCATTTTAATAAAACCTTGTGCAACATATCTCTGATGATCTATTCCTACGATCGTTTCCTCATTTACATTTTCTTATATTGACACAATAAACGGGGACCTGTTACCTCACACACGTTCATTTTCTTTTAATATTATTAATGTATTGCTGCGTGAAAAATGGAGAAAAATATGGAAGTTGGTAAATAGAATTTTTATCAATACACGTATATATGTATTATAATGCTATTTTGTAATTTAATATTTAATTATTGTAATTGTAATTAGTCTTAGCTGTACAAGTAAAATTAAATGTATAATGGAAACGGAATTACGTAACTTTGAAGGATTTGATTTTATGATAAATTTAAAGGCGAATTAATTTTGTTTTCATTTATTTACTTTCATTTTTAAATATATATCTTAAACACTGAACATAGTTTAATGATAAAAATATTGTAAATTAAATTCTTCATAATTATTAGTTAATTGTTAATATTAAACAATATTTTTAGAAAATTACGTTATGCTATTTAATAACCATTACTTTTATGGATTAATATTAAATTTATTAAATTTATAACACTTATTATTAATTATTACATTTATTAGTTAAAACTAATTATTAAGCATTAATTTTAATTAAAATACTTAAAATATTACGTAATCTGCAAAATTCTTAAGAACTTTGTTTCCATATTATTTTTATATATTATATAATGTACGTAGTAATAATTATGTAGTATAAATTACTTCATTTAATTTAATCATTTGTATTATTCATCATATTTTTGATCATGTAAAAAAAGTATTTTGGTCATAGTTATAACATTTGTTTTATATATTATAAAATATAATATTCATTTCATTATACAAAGATGTTAACCTTAAAAGTTTCTTTAGAAATGAGCACTACTTATCTTCTAAAGTATAAATTAAAAATATATTACTTTTATATCTGAATAAAAAAAATCAAAATAAGGACAATCGTATTAAAATTATATTATAATATAAAAACTAAAATCTTTTGATAATATTATGCATTCACTTAACATTAGGACTACTAAACTAACCAATGTGACTAATTTCAGACTTGTTGTTTTCGAAATAAAATTATTGTAAATGTACAGGTATCTTTGAAACCAAAAAAATCATGTCACATTTATTTAGATTTAGATAGAAACATAATTATATATACATATACATTTTCATTATTGCTACTCACATAACCTATATTTAGGTACATATTGCGTATTCATAATTCTATAACTATTAAAATTACCATTAAAATTAAAAACCAACTAACCTCTAAATATCTTCGAATAACCCAAATCGTATCGTCCATATAAACTTACGATCACTTATGAATTAATCTCTTCAGGGACGAATTTTTTTGAGTTAACGTTACAAGATTTCAAAGCAGTAATTATAAAGCAGAATAAACCGTTATTGGCGATAATATTCGACGAGACTTTTTTTTTCTATTGTCGAGGAATTCTATGATAAATAGTTCTCCAAATGATTCTAATTTTCTTCCCACTTATAATAATCACAATAAAAACGTACACATATGTACCAATATCGCCGAAGAGATTAAACGAAATTCATCTCCGCACTTCGATTCGTTTTCCATTGCGAAAGAACTTTCGCGGCAGAACGAAAAAGATTCTTTCGCGGCGTGCCGCACGATGTCGCTAAAGAGACGACGTCAGGGCAAGAAACAGGGTCTCAGGCGGGTAGAGACAAAAAGAAA